CACAATCTTAAGAAAAGGAGTTTTCTTCATGAATTTTGTGGAGGAAGGAAGAAACAATTTCCCCCTTGGTGCATGCAGCAGTGATAATGTTCAGCTTTACATTTGATCCTACTTCCTTTTAAAATCCAAGCCAATCCAAACCTTGCCTGGAATCATAAGATCTTATATTCAGCTTTATTGTGACTGTGCTCACATGATAACACTGAACCACAAAGCAGCCAGACCCATTTGTGGCTATTTTATTGTTTCGGGTCATAGAACTTCCCAAAGCTCAGATGATTCAGAAACAACTGGCTAAACAAGTCATAAGAACATCCCGTACAAGAAACAGCCTCAGAAATAAAAGAACTCCTAGCTCATTTGTGGCATCACCACAAGCTACAAACATACCTTCTAAGGCAAATTGGTACAGTAGGTTGGCCATATCTTCCACTTTTACTCCTGAGGAACTTTTTCTTCTCTCCTCTTCAAGGTGCACTATGAGATCAGACACCACTTCATTGAGGGAATCTGCATACAGCATAGCCTCTGAAGGCTTGAGCATCCTCTTGTTCAACACCTGCCGAAGACGGTGCCACCGTTCTCCATCCCTAAGAATGTGAGAGATGTTTTGTTAGCCCTTTGAATTAGTCCAGACAGGAAACCAAAACTGCGAATACTAATACTATTTGGCTCTGTGGTTAAAGACACTGAATTTGTCAGCTGGAAAGTTGACAGCCCAGGTTCAAGACCTGAGTGCCACACAACTGGGTGAGCTCCCCGTTCTTGCCCCAGCTCCTAGCAGTTTGAAACCATGCGAATGTGAGCAGATTAATAGGTACCACTTCGGTGGGAAGATAACAGCATTCCGTGTGCCTTTGGCGTATAGCCACGCTGGCCACATGGCCATTTGGACAACGCTGGCTCCCTCAACCAAGAAACAGAAATGAGCACACTGCCCTAGAATCAGACACAACTGGACAGAAAAACCTTTACCTTTACTTTATTGTAAGGTTACAGTAAGAGAATCTTGCAGGTCTGACAGCACTTCTCCCTTCCCTTCCCTTCCCTTCCCTTTACTTTCTACAGAAGTAGGGGGGGTCAATTTTGAGATGCTTTATTAAATTACATTTCTGGTTTGGGCTTAGAGTTAGTTTATTAGAGTGTGGTCTAAGCTTTGGCTCTTCCTCCTGTCTTTCTCCTTCAGAGGCTATCTATATTAGGGTTACAATATTCTCACAGCCCACTACACATTTGGAGCATATGTGGAATCAGATGCATTACTAGAATCTATTCAGAGAGTTCACTAGCGGACTTAACTAAACCAGCTAGGTGTGGTTAAGTCTCTATTTTGTTGGGGTTCTTTTACACACGCACACACACACCAGACACACTTTCTAGCATTTTTTTTCCTCTTTATTTTTTATTTTCCAGGTACAGTAAATTTTTCTTCTTTTTCTCTTCAAGGCACCTTTTTGTTATAACAGGTTAGGCATCTGTATATTGTATATACAAATGTTTTGTTTTATATGTTTGTGAATATATTTACACATATGTAAATATATTATATGTTTGTGAATATATTTACACATAAGCATGCATCCCACATTCCCAACAAGTTATGAAGTTTCTTTTAAAAAAAGATTAATTCTAATCTTTTTGAAATTTAACAGAAATAACTTGCACAATAGCAACCATAAGAGTTATAATCTAAATGATAGTGGGTGCTACTGATTAGAAGACATTTGGAGAATTTGCACACTACTGTTATTTAGGTCAAAGATCTACAGTATTGCTAAGACTTACATGACATTTCTGAAAAAAAATACTGTTTAAATAATATTTACATCTTCTCCCTTACAGATCCAAACAGTGGCTGCACAAGCCATGCTCAGAAATTAGCCTTAAGAAGCACAGAGTTTAATTCAGCTTCCCCAAAGAAATGAGTTGCTTTGAGTAATTATGCAAGCATTCTCAGGAATTAAAATGAAATGTGAGCTGCTGTACCAGATATCTGAAAAACATAATACCTTCCATGCCTGCTAGGCAGGCTTGAGTTAAGTTTTCTTAATTTTGCCTAAGGAAAGGTGCACATTTCATCGTACAGGTTGTACTGGAGCTAGCCAATATATTAATTAACTTTTTTTGAGGGACAGCTTCTTATGTGCAGATTATAGATAAGCCTTGGGCGTACCTGCAAATCTATGTGAATTCATATTAGAAGTCTCTTTCTTTGTTTAATTTCTGGATAGATTTGTGGTAGGTAACTGCTTGACACTCACTCAGTGAAGGGGCCATACGATAAGTGCCGTACGTCTCGATGTTCCTTCCAAAGGACCATGTCACTCCGTATTGGGTATTTTCCTTCCTGACGTAACAGCTCCTCTAAGATTTCTGGACTTCCAATATTAATATTAAAATAAGGACCATAAACAGACTTCCACATGGGGCCATATCTTTTCTTGTAAATGATCTAGAATAGAAAAAGTAATGATGACATTTAGAGGTTGTCAAAAACAAATGGTGTATGTGTGTGTATGTAGGTCATTCACTGGTCAATGGAATAATTGTGTGGAGTCAGTTATTCAGACTGATCCAGTTTTTCACGCTAGAAATCAGTCTGGAGCCTTGGCAGATAGAAACCTTTATTCTCTCTCTCTCTCTCTCTCTCTCCCCCTCCCTCCCTCTCTCTCTCCCCC